CAAAGGAGGATGTCTCACTCGAAGAGGAAAGGCAATACTGGGCAAACCTCATGTTTTACGGCACAGACGCACCGTCATTTCTGAAGCATGAACGTTGGATCGTTCCTTGTGCAATTCGAGCTGTTGCCTCCCACAATTCTGGAAGAGAGACTGTTCTTGAAGAGGATGTGTCAATATATCCTGTGTGGACTTCACATCTCATCCCAGAGAATGTGGCAATGCAGCTTGGAGGAAGCTTTCACATGACATCGCTTTCCAATATTGAGTCAATCATGAAACTAGGAATTGTCCCTGGTGGAATGGATGGATATAGAGGTAGTGTTTTCTTCAACCACTTTGCGCCGTGGGATGATCGATCATCAAAGATTCTGAGATCAAGATGGCCAAGAGGGGGAATGCCCGTTTGCCTTTATGTTCCAATCATGACTTTGAGGAAGCTTGGGGGAAGAATTTCGGAGAATTCCTACACTGTTGTTTTTAGAGAAGTTCCATGGAGATGTGTACGAGGTGCTTGGTATTGGGACGACCACGGTCAGGCATGGAGGAGACTCCTGCTGGGAAGCACTGGAGAGCAAGTTGTTCTAGCGGCACGTCATGGACTTTGGGTTGCTCAGAAGCATACCATCCTCGAGAGAGCCGACGAAGTCACGAAGTCAGCCTCGGCGACAGATGACAACGTCCAAAAGCTCGTGTCCCTCATCGATGAAGTACGATTCGATGACAATGGAGAGCTGATCGAGGATTCCATCAGTGAGGAAACTTGGGACGAAATCATCTCCAGAACATGTGAAGGGTATCGCAACGTGGATGGCAATATTTTGTGTCCATCATGTATGCGTTTGACTTCTTCATCTTTGTCCGTGTGTCTATCTTGTCAAGGCAGGCTACTCTCGTGTGGCATTCGCAACACTGTCATTTCCGATTCACCCGTTGATCTTGTGAGCGACGATGAAGAGGAAAAGAAGGAAGAGAAGAAGCCTGAACATGATGATCAAGATATATTGGACCAGGCCACTATGGACGAGATCAGAAAGGCTTGGGAAGAAGACATCGCTCAAACTGAAGCAGATGATGACGACGAGGACATGGATAATCCAGATCCTTCCAAACCGTCTGAGGGTGCAGAGAACTTCAAGAGTGACAATGTCGAGACCCCGTCTTTCAATGAGGACGAGATCGACTACGGTCGTGACTCTGATCTAGAAGATGAAGACGAACGAAACGTGATCATCGAGATCCAGAGGAGCACACAACAATATGAGGGGAAGAAACGTCAAGATGGTGAGCCCGAGGATGAAGACGTCACCGACGACTTACATCCGGAGGCGAATCGACCGACAGATCGTGATGAACCGGGATACTATGCACAGCATGGAGCGACCGAGTTCAATCCCGAAGAAGGAAGAGACAACGAAGATCTCCCCATCTATTGTCGAGTACCGGAACCTCGAATCTATGCGCATCAAGAGAGAGCCTACTGTCAGGACGTCTCCATGAATGCATCGGGTTTGATGGATAGGTATGTGGTCAAATGTGTGCTGAACATGATCTCCCTGATGTACAAGAGCTACTATTGCACCAGCCTTACCGACTTCAAAGCAAATTGGAAAAAGAAGCGTCTGGATGTGATAAGCAAGTTCGGTACAGGAGATTCCACTGAAATCGATGACGGTGGGAGACCATTGGATCCAACAGATGACATGATGTTAAACTTTGCCAACGACAACAATATTACAACTGAGGAGGCCTGGCACCGATTCAGAGGAGAGCAATTCATTTGCAAGGTAGCACTCATGATCCTATCATTTGGTCATACTCCGAAATCCTTCAAGGAGGAATATGGCAACTTCGAATACTCCACCAACTTGACTGATGCCCAGCTTGAGGAGTTGAAAGCGAAGAAAGCCAGTGCAATGACTGAATTGGTACAGAAGTGCATCCATGCGATTTATGGGTGTCGGACATATTCTTATTTTAGAACCGACATTACATCACCCTACCACAAGGTGATCGATCCTCTGGACATCATGTACTCGAGAATGAAGAGCAAGTGGGAGAAGTCTATTCTGTTGATCGTTGATCAACATGAGATTAGGTTGCCCCCACAAGCTCAGGAAGTCATAGAGTCAATGGCCAGAAACCCCAACGTTGGACATACAGAGAGATGGATGAGCGTGGTAGAACACAAGCATGTTCAAGCTCTTACCAATCGTCTAGGCTTTGGAGATAGGGCCAAGGAGATTCAGGGCAAGAAGAAGCAGGCAGCCAAGGCAACAGCTAAGTCAACATCAACGACTAAGTCTGAAGCGAAAGCAGCATCTTCGTCAAGAGCTGAGGCAAAGCCAGCATCTACACCCAGAACCGAGGCCAAGCCGTCGTCAGCGCCAAGTGAGGAGCCAAAACCTTCAACAGCACCTAAGAGTTTCGGGCCCTCATCAGCAGAGGAGAACAAGGTGAAGGCTGCTCCAAAAGCCAGACCACATGATAAATCACCATCCAGTGCTACCGATGTGTTCGAGCAAGCTTTGCAGGAAGATCTTGCCGCCAACACACATGCAGCAGAAGGTACAACTTCTTCATCATCCCGAGGACATTCCAAAGGAGGAGGCCAATCTGGAACATCTTGGAGGCCGGCGCTAACGCAAGAACGTCGCGAAGTACCTCAACCTTCTGAAAAGGGGAAGGGAAAGAGCAAGTCCAAGGGAAAGTCCAAGAAGGGAGAAGATGATCGGTGGGATGCTCAGGGCAGCTGGGATCATCGTGGATGGAGAGGTTATCACCAGTGGTGATTTCTTTGAACGACTATGAGGATACCATGCAAGCCAGGGAGGAAGTCATTCACCGGATGTCTATCTGACCTGGAACGCTGTAAGTGTATCATTGCAAATAGTCAATTTGATTTGATACCATGAGCATAATGGAAGGAAGACAATCACCGACTGTCTCTCCGACTTGCCGTTCTGTAAGTGTATCCAAACCAAAACCTACATCTTTTGAGAAGTGTGAAGTCAGTTGCCGATGTGACATCTACGTGGAAGTCACCAGTTCGGATCTACATCAAAGCGATGCTCTTTTGAGTGGATACTGAGCGAGGCCTCGTGACTGTCTCACTTGTTCAATTCGATTTTTTTAAAGGTTCTGAGCCATAGTTGCACACTTTATATGTAAAAGTCCGCTTTAGTCCAGCATGTTTCGTAGTATGAGCCTCATATGAGTCTCGCGGCAAATCATACAATTTCTTTGTAGCACTTACACCCCTAAATTTTCGTGTGTGATCGGAACATACTGTTGCCGTTCACATGGGGGGTGCGAATGGAAGTGCAGCGACACGTACAGTGCAACTTGTACATATATATGTATCATATGTACTTTGGCTCAAGGCTCAAGATCAAGCGACTAGAAAAGGTGCGGTTTCCGTTCCGACGCTACGCCGCTTATGGACCGTCAGTGATAGCTTCAAACTACGCTGATTAAGATCCACTCGCAGATACTCCCCTGCTACTAGGAGCAAAGGGCATCGCTACTAGGGGGCTCCTGGCCGTACTACTAGGAGCAAGGACGCTACTAGGAGCAAGAAGCTAAGGGCCCCATCTTTCCTTTCCTTTCCTTTCCTTTCCACCCCCATTGGGCCTATCGGGCCCATCGCCTATCATCCCCGAGGACTGATGGCATTGCAGATGCCGAGGCGCCGAAAAGTAACCTCGACATGGCTGCGGGTCTAAACCCGGAGCCCTCAACTCACCCTGGTAGGTTGACCTCCCCAATACTATTCTGTTCATTTTCGGTGGTCAACCAGAGCTGCCCACAGCCACATGGCGTTTTTCGCGAACCTCGTCGTGGTGGTCCATCATGTTCCATCAATTCTTCGGAGCGCTTCTCCGTTTGAACAAACGAGGTGGTCAAGATCGGTACCAAGTTCGGCTATCCACACGACCTCCTGGAATTGGGAGAGGCACGACCGCCACGCCTTGGTGGTGACTTGTTCTGCTTAAATGTGTTTGTGACAATTGGAGAACGTCGGAGCATGGCTTTCTTCAACTGTCGCCGTGTGGTCGACCTTGCCAGGAGTTGGGCAGCGGCGCGGCTGCGAAGGCCATGGGTGACAGGGGCCCCGTCCACACGAGCGGGTGGCCGAGCCAACGAACGGCCGAGGTCTATGTGTGCCGGAGATGTAACACTGGACAGGAGTTGGCCGTCAAGGCTGCGAGTTTTTGGCAACAGACTGACGGCGAAATCTTCCGCTGTGGACTTGGGTGAATTGTGACTTGCTTCTGGAGCAGGTGATCAACCTGGGCAAGTTGAGGCTAATGAATGATTTCGAGGGACACATTGTGTGCCTGGCATGTGCTTGAGTCTATACTCGTCTTTGCTAATGTATTGTGTGGCCGAGTTCAATTCTGATGTCTGTCATGTTTCTTGGAAGTGAGATGAAGGAGGATGAAGGTAGTGGTTCCTGATGTTGTGAGAGTAAAGGAAATAAATTGATCACTGTCGAGTCAATACCCGCAGCAATACAGCTGAGAAACTCCCCCGTTCGTTTGTGCCTGCTTCTGTGCCACAAAAGATGGCTGCCAGAGCGGAGGCCTGCAGTGAAGTCAAGTCGGTTTGTCAATGTCTTGTCTTTGAAACTCTGTTTCTGACACGTCAAGTGTCCAAAAGTGTATTGACCAGTCAGTCAATGTCCCTATTACACATGTCACTCTTGAGCTGACCTTGGCTTGGTATGCCGTGGTATGCCGTGGTATGCCATTGTGCCCAGAATGGATGCGCTGAGGGTATACTGAGGGTTAGGAGCACCAACTGATGGCTTGCAGGATCAAAGTCAGAGCGGAAATATCCTGCTCTATGTCACTTGGCAAGCAATGAACCCTTGCCTTGGCAATTGCCAAAGAGCAAGGATCTTAACTCTTAACATACCTTTCTTTGCATTCTTACCCTTTGTTTGCATCGTTCCTCTAATCTGAACAGTTCGTGAAACTCATCAACGTACACGCAAGGTCATGGTTGGCATCTACGTCTTTCTACTGATGATGATCGCCAAGATTGCCCACGGCCGAAAGAAAAGGGTGGCAGCTGAGGAGGGCGAGGCGACTGTTCCCGCGGCGCAGTTGGTTGGTTGAGTCACCTCAAAAAGGCACACTTAGTCCTTTTCAGAAATCTCCACGTTAGGTGATCGCTTTAAACCTGAAGGAATTGCAAAAGCCTTCTCAGAACCCCCAAAAAGAATGATCACGAGGCTGCGCAAGGGGATTTTGCGGAGGTTTTGGAGTGTATCTGTATAAGGTATTCTATTGAATTAGTAATTCTACGTGTTTATTCATTGCCTTATCAGTCATGGTGTCTCGCTTTTAGTTCACCTCCAGTAGCATGTGGCTGGCCGCGAATTCGCGGCAGGTTCAAGCTCACTTTGGTGGGTCTTTTGGAGCATTCACGCTCTTCCTCACGACCTTTTCCACCGTCTACTCCGGTGTGGACCTAAGAGGTTTGCCAAAACTTGTGCTGCAACTTGCGCAGGAGTAGGAGACAGCGAGTTTGTCTGGATGATTCTCGATGATTCTCTCATTCCACCTGTAGTGACCCAGGCTTCACAGTGACGGGCATTCCTGACGAAGCTTTCTCGAAGGGCTTTGTGTCTGTGCGATGGGTTGGAGCCACCTTGGTCATTGTCGCAGGCATGCTGCTGATGTATCCAAGGCCTGCGTTTGAAGGTCATCTTGCCTAGTGTCAATGTTCAAGTTGTTCCAATACCCTCTATCTATCCAACAAACATGGAAGTGGAGACGGGACCCTGGAAGACAGTTTTCCTCTACAAACAAGGCCTTATCCACTTCATTCCACTTCCATGTGTGTTTTGAACAGAGGGTCTTCAATACGGCTGTGGGTCAAGGCCGGGGGACCCTGGTTGACCACGGAAAAGGAACTAAGTAGACTACTGAGGAGGTCAACCTACCGGTTTAGGGATCCAGATGGGATCCAGGTTTTGACCCACAGCCAGAATTCTACAAAGTAATGTGAGTTATAGTTTGCTGTAATATATAATATCATTTTCATCCTCTTAAACTTCCAGGCTCCGACGCTTGGCTGTTGCACGGGCCTACAGTAGCCCCATGGACTTCATCTCGGACCGCTTCGGCACGGTGCGGCTGCGGCTGCTTTGTGCGGCCTGCGGCATCATTCCCATGGTGATCTACATCACGGCACAGATGATCTCCTTTGCTGCCATGGTCGAAGGATGGCCGAGATGGGGTAGGAGCAAAGGGCATCGCTACTAGGAGCAAAGGGCATCGCTACTAGGAGCAAGGACGCTACTAGGGGCTCATGGTCGTACTACTAGGAGCAATGTTTGCTATTAGAAACAAGATTTCAATAGAATTAGAATTAATGTAAATTTAAATTTATGACATGGAACCGGTATAGTCTGGTGGATTTGGGTGACTGTGAACAGGAAGTCTGGAGGAGAGACGTGTTGGCTCAGCATGGTGAAATGCGTCATGTTGAAAAAGATGTCGATCCAAAAGTAGCTTATTGTTTCTAATAGCTTTTTGTTACTACTAGTAAGGCACCTGTTACTACTAGCGTGGCACTTGTTCCTAGTAGCTTATTGTTTCTAACAAGAACACGGAAAATCCATCCACAATGGACATGCAACGGACGACGCCCAACTCACACGGCCCAGAAACTGCTCTCATGCTATCAGGAATGTCCCAACTCAGATGGGGTCCTTGCCACACATTTATAGCTTCCAAAGCTGAATGCATTCCGTTCGTCGGCAGTAACTTGGGGAACACATTGACCGGCGCACATATCACAAGGCAAACAACAAACAGAATGAGGTGACTGATACCTTGAGGAAGCTCGACAAACTTTATTTTCGAGACGACACCCTTGAGCCTTGAGCTGCCAGCATCCAAGCTGGGACAGAGTTGCAGGTCACGCAGGTCGTATCAAGACCCCGTGGTTTGAGTGTATAGGATGTGCGAAAAGCACAGTATGTTCCATGATGTTCCATGTAGCAGATTACCAGCTAACATGTCAATGTGCTGTGGTTCAGGAATCATGATTTGTGTAATAATAATTCCATTCGGGAGGTTGGTCAATTCTTAGGCTAAAACGTGCCACTACTTTTGGCCTTCACGTGGAAGGAATGACCTTGGAACTTGTTCCAAAGTGGGCCTGCATGCTGATCTTCTGTGTGCTGATCCTCACCTTGGAGGTGCTTGGCGGAATGAACAGTGTGGTCCTCACCGATGTGGTCCAATGCATCGTGATGATCGCTTCCTTCGTGGTCGTCTCCGCGGTGCTTGCGGCGGAGTATGGCTCCTTGCCACAGCTTGGGCCATCGGATTGCTCCTTCCTGGAACTGGTCTCCGGCAATGTGACGGATGCCTATTCTGTCCCGGAGACCTGTGGACCAGACCAGACGGGTTGTGTGAAAGCGGGTTGCATCGCGGCGGTGAAGCCGAACTTCTACGAGTTCCCGAGCCGATCCACCTTGTGCGACATCATTTTCTTCCTCGTGAACATGCTGGCAGCCCTTGCCTCAATTCACAAGCCTTTGGGGCAAATGGAGGGAACTCATGAAACATCATGATCAAGGTTAGAGATTTGTTCAATAAAGCAAGACATTTCCAACTGTGCCTCAGCGTTTCTGTAGGCCCCTTTGCAGCCCCACATGGTCCAGCGAGCCTACATCGCTTCAAGTGATGCCAATCTTCGCATCGTGATGGCTGCCATGCTGCTAGCGCCATTCGTGGCACAACCCCCCGGCATTGTCATCGGATTAACGAAAAGTGCGTACAATTCCGCTTGGCCCTTGGTTGATCAAGAGGCCACGGCCTTCTCTGGCTTGACTGCACAACTCAAGATGACGGGACCTTTCCAGTACTTCTTGGTGACAGTCATGACCTGCTCCTGCTTGGCCGCCATTATGTCCACAGCAGATTCCGCCCTCATGGGAGCCTCCAGTGTAGTGTCTTTAGATGTTGTAAAGGGGACGCTGCTTCCCTCGCTCTCCAAGAAGAACGTTGTCCGGGTGGGTGAGTTGAATTCAGTGCTCGTGTGTGGTCTAGCCTTTCTGCTGGGCATGCATTTAAATGCTGACCAGATGGGCGTGATCATTGTTTTCCAGAATGGCATCTGGGTTGTTTGGAATATTCATTATTCTTCCATCCCTTAAATTTTGGAAGGGTTACTGTCATACTATATCTCAACTGACTCATATGGTAGGGGATCATTCAAATCATCGACCAGGTATGTTGATGCAGATGCTGCCGGCCTTTTGCTTCGGCTTGTACCTGCAGGTTTCGGAGCTTCCTGTTTCCGCCGGAATCTTGACCGGCCTCATCTCCTTGGTGATTCTCACCATCACAGGTAATCCATTGGATGGCTATGTGCCGGCGGTCAACGTCTCTGTCTTCCTGAACTTTCTCGTCGTGGCTGTGATGGAACTTCTCGGTCGATGTGGAGCCTGCGGAGGCTGCGAGAAGTCCACCGAATTGGACGTGGCGGAAATTCGCAAGGTCATGGCGACTTCCAAGGAGGGTTGGTTGCCGAGCCGAATCACCTCAGCCACTTCTGTACAGCCTTTTCTTTTCAGGGAGAGATGTCTTCTTCGAAAGTACTAAAGCTTGAAGTGGTTTGCGCTCCGGTTGGCCACATTCGCTCTCTTTTTTTTCCGGCTCATGAGGGAACACCCAAGAAAAGACCATAAAAGACCTATATAGGGGCAGGTCAATCTTGAGACTGAGACACCTCATGTATGAATCCTCTTATCAATATCAGGTGCTTCTCAACCGTTTGTTGGCCTCTTTCGGTCATGATTTCGTTCACAGGAGCCCAAGCTAGTGCTGATCGCTTTGATGTTTGGCTTGGCCCTGATCTCTGCACCTTGGTATGGTGCACCAGGAGTGCAAGAGCCCATGATCTGGGGCGCACCCAGGTGCCATGGGAGACGCCGGCAACCCAATTTGGCTCATCCAATGTAGGAAATTGAGAATCCTCCAGTTGTTGTGCTCCTCAATAGATTTCCAATTACATTTTTACAACTTCAGTCACAAGTCCATCACAGTCTTTCTATGTCTTTCTCAGCTTTCCAACACAGGTGGGCACTCATCCAGATGATTTGCTACGTGGTGATTTTCTTCCTCGGTCTGGTGACATCCTTCCTTTGGAAGCCACCCACCCAGACGCCCGTGAAGGGCCCTCCCAACACCGTGAAGGGCGGGGACCGCGGGTGTGTGCTGCCGGGTGTCGACGACCGTGTGGTGGGTGTGGCGCCCTCGGAGGCGGAGACGGCCTCGACGGAACAGGTGACTTCCACGGAATCCCAGCGGAAGGTTTGAGAGATGAGAGAGGGATATGGGGATGTTCGATAGGAGAGGGCCACCTTCGAAACTGGAGAGATCTGCCTTGGACATGTTCCTTTTGGCGCAGAGGTGGTGCCTTATTTTGGAGTTTGCATGCGAATTAACACTGCCGGATGTAGTTGTAAAGTCAGCAGACATGGCAGTGCATAGTCTTTGCTTTCTCAGTGTCCCAATCCTGCTGCAGATGGCACAGGTCAGGGGATGCCTTAAGAGCAGACGCTCTCAACTCTCCACCAGAAAGGACTGGCGCCATTTCTCGTTTCGTAGCCTCGTAGCACAGATGGTCTTGTGACTCGTGGTTGAAGGTAACATATTGCAATCATGTTGGTTTCCGCCTTTGGCCGAACGGAAAGGGCTCAAAGCTTCCCAAGATGCATTGAGCCAGAACGTGAGCCATGGCCGAAGGGAAGCCCAAGAAGAATGTCAGCCATGAGATGATCATCTGGAAGAAGCTCATTGAGACGGAGCTAAAGACTGCTGCCAATTGGGAATATCAGTGGGGGTTTCTCAAAGCCGACCAGTCCAAACGTCGCTTGTCTGGCTGTGCGTCAGCCCCATCTCTGGGGGCACCGAAGGTGGTGAAGAAGTTGGATCGGTCGCAGGCTTTGTTGTCTCGTGTCCTGGAAAGGCCTCAACAACGCTATGGCCGTCCGATGATCACATCCCACGAGATCGGCTGGCGCGAAAAGAGTTTGGAGCGCTTCGGTGTGAGCCAGCATGGCATCAAGCGGGACCCGGGCATTTGGCCAGACTACTAAGTGTCGATGAAACGCAATTATATCGGGGGGATAGAGTGCTTTGACCAACTGATGATCTAACAACATCCAACAGCCACATTGTGTGGTTCCGACTTCAAATGGCTTGATGCGTGTTACGCAGACTTGGAAGCCTGGTTTAGTGTTTTTTGTCTCACAATAGCCGCAACAGCCGACAGGCGCCTAGCTTTCCTTCCCAAATGGGATAGGAATCGTTCGTTGGATGATAAAAAAGCAAAAACACAACTGGATTTGGACCTTTGCATCGCCGGACGGAGTGTTGTGGGGATGAATATATAGACGGAACTCAGAAGCTAAGGTGTTTATTGACTTCATTGCATGTCCTGGTTCTCGTGCAGTTTATACGTTGCACAGTTATTCGCCCTGTGGGTTGGAGGCTCGATGTCAAGACAATGTAACTGCATTGTTGCTTTGCAGCATTTGTGAATGCTTTGTTTTTGGCTTATGGTTTCTGGATAGCTGAATGAACGATGCCGCCTGGCCTCTTCCGAGTTCGGCTGGATTTCTGGTGTTTTTCATCCTCATACTGCATTGGACCAGTTCAGTTGCCAATTTCTGCTTGCTTCAGCACATGACATCATGTTGATGTTAGTTCGAGTTGTCCCTGGTCCGCTTACTATTAACTTAACTCTCGCCATCTCTAACTTTGCACGCGATGCTTGCTGATTCTCCAGCGGGCCAGTGAAGCCCAGCGCAAGGTCTTTGCGGATTCAACGGAAGCCCCACTGCAAGGACCACGTGTCCTCCAATAACCCTAAACCCTAAACCGAGTTTCGTGAGTAGTCCTCCAATCATCTCATGCCAGATCTCATGCCAGGTGAAGTTGAACCGTGAGGTGCAGATCCTACAAGGTCTTTCGAACCCCAGGACCGATGAGTGACAGGTCAAAAAAATAAGCTGCATGGCATGCATGGATGCTTCATCTTTGGTGTTCCTTTTGTACTTTGAGCTGACTCTTGTTGACAGGATCGTGAACCTTCATGCGGTTCATAGAACCAAACAATGGGTGTTCCTGGCCGCTTGGCTGATCAGCTCCGCACGAAGCTGCTGCTCCGCACTGAGTGTTTCTTGCTCCGCTCTCAGGTCATGGAATTGGTCAGAGGCGGTGAGCTCTTTGATGTCATCGTCAGCAACAAGACCGCAGACATGTCGTAGATGGAGTTGTTGGTACAGACTCTACGTGCAGGGTGGGTAGGGCTATGGAAGACAACCATGTCTCCATCATAAAGCAATTAACATGCTCCAGATATCACAGTAGAATGTCTGAATGTTTTCTATAGAGACCCCTCCGAGTCTCCTTTCTCCCACGGGTGTCAATGTTGGCATCCACTTGGTAAGCCAAACACATCGGAACGCCTAGGCGGCCGATATTTACACAGCTAGTCGCTAGCCCCTGGTCCCGATCGAATTCTTGGACTGATCCGGTCCTCGCAGGACCCTCAATGAGGTTGAAGCCAAGTACATTTTCCGGCAGCTTCTCGAGGGTGCGCGACGCATCGATTGACGCCCAGAATAAAACAACATCGAGAGAGCTTCTTCAGCTCAGCGAACGTGTGAGTGAACGTGTGGGAACATTCGCCAGGTGTTGGATACATGCACAGCAAGAATGTGATCCACCGAGACCTCAAGCATCTTGGCCAGATCGGATGGGGAATCGAGGGCAGGGCCGTGGATTCCGTGAGTAAAGCCTGGAACAGTTTGGGCAGGGCGGCAGGGGTCAGGATGGTCAGGACAGACACGGAGTATCTGGGCTATACTGGGCTGAGGTTTTGGTGGTTGTTCTCTAGCAGACTCTTTCCGAAGTATACAGCATAGCCCCAACTTAGATGGTACAACGCTGAACAAGCTTCCTCGACTCACAAATCGTCGACGTCATTTCATGCCATTTCTAAGATAAGCGCGAAAAGTCAATGTCGCTTGGTACTTTGTGCAGAACCTTCGACCAAATACTAGGTTCCTATATGTTCCTATATGTTCCTATATAATCTATCGGATCTTCCGACAGCAGGTGCTTGGAAAACCCCTTTGTCTCGACTCGTGACGTCGGGACGTCGACTCGTCTCATCGTGTCCTCTGTGTCGACTCCTCGAGGCCCGAGAACATCTTGATCGCCGCGAGCCGTGAGCTCCCGCCGCCGATGTCCGGGACCTTGCGCGAGGCGGGACGGGGAAGCCTGCGAGGCGGCACCGGACGAGGTGTTTGGGTTGAAACGAAGGCACGAGGTGTTACGAAGTACCGCCAGCTTCTGTATTCTTTCAACCAGGTCCTTATCTCAGATTCATATTTATATATTTAACTCCATTTGTTCTGGGCTTGCGGTGACCAGGTACAAATGCAAACTCATTGTGTATCCCTATAATGCCCTTTCCGTGGTTTTGAAGCAACACCCATTGAAGGTACCGTTCTGCACAAACCCCATAGATGCGGTTTTCAATGGTTTTCACGTATTCACATTGTCGATGCACCAACAAAGCAGGCAGGTGGGCAAACGCGGACACTTGGTCTATTCATTGTCCATTGGGAATGCGTGCCAAACTGTGAGCAACCTCATAATTGCGGTAGATGAATTGGCCGAGCAGTCCGGAGGTTTTCCAAAGACTATCAGAGAAGCGACTATCCTAAGGCTTCATCATGTTTGCTTTCTGGATGCCAAATCCAGTGGAAATTGGAATTCAACGGGTACACGCACTCGCGGACGATCCACTCCTACTATCTCCTACCCAGTATACCTTCCCGATTGGTACGGTGGTTAATATGCGATTTGCCCATAGAAGCATAGCTTTGGATGTTTTCTTGAAAGACCGTTCAACGGCACAGAGCTTGCATGGGTGAAGTATTGAGCCGTTCACCAGATTGACCGATCCAGGTGACCCACTAGCCGACCCACTCATCCAAGCTTGGTCAAATATTGAGCAATTCAGCTTGGATGCCAGCAGTCACAAAGGGATTGTTTTTAGTCCCTAAGTGAGTGGATAATGGGCACCTCTATCCTCCAATAGGCACCCCTTTGTGACTGCTGCTTCTTTGAATTTGGTGACCTTAGTGACCCGACCGATCCAGGTGAAGATCGCAGACTTTGGGCTGTCGAAGATCATCAATGAGGCCGGGCCAATTCGGAGTCTTTTGTAAAGCAGCCAGCACGAGTTCTTGGGCGGTTTTCATCACCCTTACTTTCTGGGACACTTTCAGTACCTAGTGATCAGCGTATATGTGTTTCCAAATTTTCCAAAGAGATCTTGCTAGTGGAATATGCATCCGCGAGTCCCGCTTCCCTTAAATATTGATGCCCTTGCATGCCCTTGCAACCAGTTTGAGCTCAGATGTCAAAGAATTGGTGGTTTTGATAGCATCAAGCACAGCAACCCACTGTTAAAGCTTGCCCTGTTTGCACATTCTTGAGCCATGATCCCTTCAGAAACCCAGGTGATGCACCCATCCACTCGTCGGCCCCCAGGGCTCCTCCTTCGCGAAGACCTTCGTGGGGACGCCGCAGTATTGGGCGCCGGAGGCCTTTCCGACCTCTTCCGCCGATCGGTCCCCGAGCCACACGGCGTTTCGGGGGAAGTGGCCGATCGGAGCGTGGCTCGTAGTGGTCCCAATGAAGTACTAGCAGTTTTACTTCAATTTTAGTTGCAGCTTTGTTCCAGATAACATATTGTTTTTGTACTGCGTTAATATATCGCTTTATGTTTGTCTTCCCCAAGATTGTACACGATGCATGACACACAAACAGCTCTTTTTGATCCCTTCAGACTTGCTTAGGGTTGTGCACACATGCAAACAGATCTTGGTCAGGTCCTCAATGTACAGAGAGGGGGAGGCAGCTACACCCAAGCGGCAGACTACTGGAGGCCTGGATGATAAAATGGTACATCCCCTCCAGCTTGTATTGGAGGACGCTATTGATGGTCCTTTCATGTCCTTTGTGTGGTTCCAGTCTAGTTCCAGTGCTCTTCGATTTGCTGCCAGCTTGGGCGCAGTGCTCTTCGTCATGCTGGGTGGCCGATATCCCTTTGACGGGAAGGCCATGCCGTTGGAGGCGGGGTCGCGGGTCGGTCGTTGGCATCCCCAAGTGCCCTTGGCAGTGAACGAAGAGGTCTTGTGATCAAAAGAAGGGATGATAAGGAGGTGTAAGTAGAGGTGTAAGGAGGATTCACGGATCTGCAACACAGTTTGCATGTTTCAGTGGGGCATCGCACTGTAAGCCTGTGGATTGCAGGAACAAATCCGAACGGCAAGCTTCAGCTACTTGCCTGCAAGATCCTGCAAGCAAGATGCTTTGCTTCTCACTTCCAGCTGGTAGGTCCTTGACTCACTCTTGAGACTATAGAGAACCCTCAACCGCACTGCGCTGTGGGGGCGCTTGCGCACTCCCCCTGTCCAACACTTCCAATTCTGCTAACCAGGACAAATTGATGTGCAAGCTGAGTCAAAGACTCACAGCTTCAAATAGCCCAGACATACTTTCATAAATCACGCTTCATACCTGGGATAAATATAAAGAAAAAAACATAAGTTTGGGGACAGGGTTTCAAACAAATTATAGAGCCTCTTCCAAAAGAATATGACGACTGTGCGTCACCAGCCTTGCGAAACCGACGCCAGCAATTAGAACGTTTTCGTCCCAAACTCCACGAGCAGAAATTGCTATGTGTTTTGGAAAAGACCTAAAACTCCAAATCCATGGGACACCCAATGGAAACAAATTATAGTTTTTTCAAAAAAAATCCTATAACTCGGAAAGTGTGTGACGTCCTTGTCGAAAATAGTTATGTTTTTTTCTTTATATATAACTATAACTATAACTCCAAAACCATGGGACACCCAATGGAAAAAAAGTATAGTCAATTTGTTCAACAAATTGTATAACTTATGATTCACCAGGGCATGCAGATAACCCATCACATGTTGCTTGTTTTTTTGTCTCTTTTTAGTTGGTGCCTGCGCATATTGATCACAAATTGTCATGTAGCTGTCTCAAGTAAATCTCTAGTACAATATTTCCTTGGAAAAAAGAAGGCGTCAATACATGCCTTAGCAAATCATAAGTTACATTTGTTTTCAAAAACAGTATAACTTTTTAGAGGGATCATAGTTTCCACGAGCATTTGCGCAGCTGCTCCGAACAATGCAACAGTGAAGCGTGTTTTCAAAGAAGAACCATAACCGGTTCTGACAGGGACGTCACACACACTTTCCGAGTTATAAGATGTTTTGAACAAACTATAACTTTTTTTCCACTGGGTGTCCCATGGTTTTGGAGTTATAGTTTGTTCAAAACAACTTAATAACTAGTTTCCATGGGGTGTCCCATCTTTTGGGAGTTATAGTTTTCTTCAAAAAATCAAAACTATTTTCGACAAGGACGTCACACACTTTCCGAGCAATAAGATTTTTTTTTTTGAAAAAACTTACTTGTTTCCATTGGGTGTCCCATGGTTTTGGAGATATAGTTTTCTTCAAACAAATCACAACTATTTTCGACAAGGACGTCACACACACTTTCCGAGTTATAAGATTTATTGAACATACTATAACTTTTTTCCATTAGGTGCCCCACGGATTTGGAGTTATAGTTCTTTTCCAAAAAACATAGCAATTTCTGCTTGTGGAGTTTGGGATGAACACGTTCCAACTGCTGGTGTCGTTTTCGCAAGGCTGGTGACGCACAGTCGTCATAGCCTCTTGGAAAAGGCTCTATCACGTTTAGCAACCCTACCCCAGAAGTTATGTTATTTTGTATTGTTATCCCAGATATGAAGCGTAATATACAACACCTAGTGTTGTTTTGCAGCAAACTTTTAAACCAAACATGCGTCAGCCCCTAGCACTGCTTGCATCCAGCATTGGAAGCACAATTCTTTGGTCCACCAAAAAGCTACCCCCTACCTTCTACAGGTGATGTTGAATGCAGTGCGCATTGCTGAACACTTATTGAAATATTTCTGCCAAAAGCGCACCTTATTTATGAACTTTAGTGACGTAGTCCCAGGGGTGACCCCGAGAAGCTCAGACCATGAGCTGTCGACTTCTCGAGGCATGACGTCGGCCGCGTGGCAGCGCGTCTCGGAGGAGGCGAAGGCGACCGTCTCGCCGGCTGGATGAGTCACCGTTTGTGAGTGGATTTGCCTCAACAACAGACCAGCCCGCTTGAACTATCATGGGTAAGTCATACTAGAGTCAACTAGAGTCAAGGTGCACCTTCAATTCAAGCACATATATGAGCAACTGCCAAAACCTCGGATGAACGCAGCATCACTACAGTGAAGACTAAATACGTAAAGTGAAGGAAACCTTCAGGAACGATCAGGTTCACAAAAATAGACCGACAAGGTTTTAGATGGTTTTAGTACATGTTGTTAGGTGTGTCCAAACCCTCAGGAACGATAAGGTTCACAGAAAAAACGATAACGTTGGGAAGAGTGCACACTGCAACACATAAGAGGTTTTGCACATCGCTCATATGAACAAAGAACACATTCAACATTTTGTATTGTTTTCTTCAAGAACATCATGTTCGACAAATGACACAAGCTGGCCTTTGACTTTTAGTTATTTGACAGGGCGTTTTTGACAGACCTGATATGATATGGTGTCTTATTGAGATACATCCACCTGATTTGAGTGGAACGGTTAATCTTGGCCAGGCGTTGCAAATCCTGAATCTAGAATTCGGGTGCGTTTGTTTGAAAAACGACTGGCATTTGAGCCACTTGACAGACTGATCCCAAGGGGAAAACCTTCCAGAGTCTTGAAGCTTGTTTCTTGAATTTGTTTGAGCCAATATGGCCAATAATTATGCCAAATGAAGAGAACAGAAGCTTCCAACTTTAGGACTTATGTTAACTAGTCTGAAACACCAAAGGGCACTGGCACGTGTTGTGTTTTTGTGTTAGAATCTTGCCGAAGCGTTCACATCCGGACTTTACCTCTGACCCCATCTTCTGCCCACCGTTGACAGTAGACGTCAAAAAGCACCGTCAAGCAGCAGGACATGGTCCGAGGCCTCTTGAAGGTGAATCCGGCAGAGCGCCTCAAACTGGAGGCCGGGAAGACCGACCGCGGGACCGCGTGCACCGGGGCGATGAACACAGGGATGAACCGCAGCGTTTGGTTGCCACAAAGCAGATGGAAGCACAAAATAGGATCCAAATTATTCAAAAAAGAACTTACAGACATCAAAAGTGACACCTTTGATTGCCACAAAGAGTTTGGCGAGCTGCTGTATGAGTAGGATTCAGTAGGATCCAGTGAGTGTCCTCAAACATTTGTTTGCTGTCTTGGTGAAAGCTTTCTGGTTGTACAACTAGGGGCTTGACCAAGAATGAGTGTTGGTAATGGCAGATGTTGCTTGGTCCAAGCATTGCTTTGTTCTCCAGACGGAACTTCTTATATACTTACTATTGTGCGCCTCAAATTCTCTACCTGGCACCCCTCGGTCCTCGGTGTTTATTACCCGCGGGGGGGGCTGATGCTTTTCATTGGTGCTGTTTTCAGGACTGCATGGTTCATCCCTGGGTTGCAGGCAGGTGGCCTAATGCTTTCGCTCTTTTGCAAGCTCCACGTGGTCCTCATGTCTGAATGCGAAATCTGCCAGCCAATTCAGCCGACAGACTTTGCTGTGTGAGCAACTATAGGCACTATATATAATATATATACATACAACTAAAGTCACAAGTCTCTTCTGTAAGACGAGTTCAAGATGCATTTGCGCTGGAATTGAGGTGGAATACCTCATGTACCTGCACCACTTCATCCACAGGCGCCCTTGTCAACCTCATTCTTTTGAAGCAACTGAGTTCGTTGAAGGTGGCACCAAACAAGGCCGTGGTTTCAGAGGCGTGCACAGCAGAGAGGACTGGCTGCGAAATCCAATGGGCCGTTGTCAGGCACTTTCATAGATCATCCTTCAGCATTCGGCGGTTGATCAAGTGATTCAACATTATTCAATGGTCATGTTGCAGTCAGAAGGCACCAGGCCTAAAACTGGAACAATGTTGGGGTCAAAAGCATTCTTCGAATGTCCATGAATGTAGTGGACAGTTACTTACCGGGGCAGTCTTTGCTGAAGGAAGACATGTTTCGATCTTTCGACGGATTGAGAAGTGCAACTGATCAGGTCTCCTGTGGCACTCCTGCAGCCACAGTTCCAATAGTCTTTGCCTTATTACTTCGGACTGGCCCTAATTTTACGCGCGTTTGAAACGCGAAGCGTTGTTCCCGAAAGCATTGCGAAGGGTTCTTCCGGAAAAGCCCTTGAACACTGACACTTCGACACTGACACTTACACACTGACGACACTTCCACCACACTTGCACTACAACATGAACGCTATACGTACCCCAGTGTAAGTGGAAGAGCGAAAGCATCCAAGTGCAAAGTATGCAAGTGTCAAAATATGCAAGTGTAAGTATGCAAGTGATGGGTATGCAAGCATGCAACGAGTATGCAAGCATGCAATGAGTATGCAAGCATGCAATGAGTAGGCAAGTGTGAGTATGGAAAAGTGTGGAAAACTACCACGGGAGATGTCCTAATGATTTCCCCACTAAATTCTCTCTTAAAGGCGGAGGGTGGGACGAACAGCGTCAACCGAAAATGCAACCCTCTGCGGAGATCGTGCGTGTCGAGTGCGCGAAATGCAGGCGAGAGTGCGATTTGTCCGGTCCGCGTGCAACCCTCTGCGGAGATCGTGAACTCGTGTCGAGTGCGCGAAATGTAGGCGAGAGTGCCGCGCGTCCCATGCCCGCGCAACCCTCTGCGGAGATCGTGCGTGTCGAGTGCGCGAAATGCAGGCGAGAGTGCCGCGCGTCCGGTGCGCGCGCAACCCTCTGCGGAGATTGTGCGTGTCGAGTGCGCGAAATGCAGGCGAGAGTGCGATGCGTCCGACGCGCGCGCAACCCTCTGCGGAGATCGTGCGTGTCGAGTGCGCGAAATGCAGGCGAGAGTGCGATGCGTCCGACGCACGCGCAACCCTCTGCGGAGATCGTGCGTGTCGAGTGCGCGAGATGCAGGCGAGAGTGCGACTTGTTCGGTGCGCGCGCAGCCCTCTGCGGAGACTGTGCCTTTGTAGTACAACTTGAGTACGGAGCAATCTGTGGAGCTGGAAGCTGAGAACTGGCGACTTTGTAGTACAACTTTAGTACGCGAAGTAGCTGGGGAGCTGGAAGATGAGAACTGGCGACTTGGTAGTACAACTTTAGTACGTGGAGTATCTGGGGAGTTGGAAGATGAGAACTGGCGACTTGGTAGTAGAACTTTAGTACGCGGAGCAATCTGTGGAGCTGGAAGATAAGAACTGGCGACTTTGTAGTACAACTTTAGTACGCTTCATTCCAGCTTGCTTTTTTCAGTGAGATTTCCTGGAGGCACGCACGCTGCTTCTCCCCTTACCAGCAGCCCAAATGCTCACGACGATGAGCCGGGCTGTCACCGCTTGGCCGCTGGTGGGGGGTTTGGGAGGCCTGCGCGCTAACTCGTTCACTATATGTACAGTGAAGACCTTCACCAGCAGCAGACATGGACATACACACACAGACAGGGACTCATACACACACACATCACACACAGAGACCCACGCACTGCCTCAACTTACTCGGACACACACACAGACAGAGACTCATATACACACGGACATAGATACACACACAGAGACCCACACACTACCTCAACTCACTCGACTTAACACTTCACACTGCACGCTTAACAGATAACTCGCACTCTGACTTCCTACGTGATGAAAAATGCTTTCGGGCCACTCGTCGTCTAGTGCTTCTTTTCTTTTTTTAAGCAGCGGCCTTTCTCTTGGCAACAACGATGGCATGAGCCGGGCCTCAGCAGTGCAGCGCAGGTGGAGCACCCTGTCCACAGCGACTTCTCCGCCCGATCCGTCGGCCACCCAGCGCCCGATCCGTCGGCCACCCAGTGCCGCGTCCGATGACCACAGGGATCCCAAAGCCTTTGGCTCAAGGATGACGAATGACGAATGTTTTTTTGTTTCGAGTCAAAGTTGGAGCGGCCAGTAGAATGTTCGGATCAGTCACGACACGATGTGATTTACACCAACTTGTCTTCAGTTTCTCTTCATTTCTCCAACGAAGTATGGATGTCCTGTCGCGTCACATGGTGCGTTTTCGGCGGGCGCTGCGCGTGGGTCTCCTGTTGATCCTTTCGCACGGAGCACGCTTTGACTGGACATTTCTGGGCCCATTTGGAGACCTGAGGAATCGCAGGCAGTTCACATACCACAGCAGTTCCCAGATGTTTTTTTTGATAAAACCACATTTCTTTATTTATGGAGAGTCATCCGAGGTACTTTTTCCATCAACAGTCAACACTACCATTCTTGCAAGGTTTTACAATGCTTGCAAGACCCTTTAACACTGTACTGTACCCGTCGACGCTGTAACCGTCAACACTGTACCCGTCCCACATGCACACATCAACCAAAGGGCCTATTGAAAAGGCGAGTTCAGCTTGCGTTCTATTTAGTTCTATGATATGTATTTCTTGCAGATTAAAGAGAGGCAACATGTGCAAAGAAGTTTCAGTCTATATAGTTACTAGTTACCTTTGGCATCGGCATCAGATTGAATTCCGGGTGGAAGATGATTGAGGGAAAATACAAGTTCTTCACATCCTGACATTGACAGTGTTTGGCAGGATCGTCTAAAATGAACCAGGAATCCAATCATGTTTTATGTGTTTATGTTCTTTCTTTCTTTCTTTCTTTCTTTCCTTCTTTAATTCTTAAAAACAAAATAAACCTTCCTTCGCCTTCATCCATGTTGTCAGTTTACCAGATGGACTTACTGGCTTTCGATTTCTCCCGAACCTCCAACATCCTCAACGACCGCCGTTGAAACTCTTGTCCACTGGTCATTGATGAACTATATAGTGGCAGTTCTGCATAGTTCTGCTATCCGTCAGAGGCATCTCCTCAGCTCCGGCCTTTTCCACACCGGCGCCCTCGTCCTCTCCGGAGAAACGGCTGCCGCCGAAACGCCTGTGGCGGGGCCCACGTACCGGACGCTGCGGGCGCCACCCGAGATCCCAGTGGCCACAGCGGTGATTTTGCTGCGGACCACGCAGGAGGCGGAGCGTTGGAGGGCGGAAGGACCGCGAAAACAGTGCAATTCTGAGGTTTTTCCTGCTACTCATGGATCCATTTGTTTGCTTAATTAAGGTGCATTGTAGTTGTACTGGTATCAGAAGACGCACCTTAGGCTGAGAATGGCCAGAAGGACCTTAGTGCAGGTCGGCTGCCCAAACTTGGACGAAATGTGCAGTGAAGCAACCCTTTTCCAGGCGGCGCTGGATTGGGGTGGCCCCTTCAGCAAACCTGGTTTATACCAAACCAGCTTCAACAAGAAACGCAGTGAAGGATTTCCTGCGTTCAAGGAGCGCTATGCCACCTATGACTTGTCTGCACTTTTGAACCAGACACAGCTGCTGGCCAAAGATCCGCGCACCAATCGTTTGTATTTCTCCTTTTTGAACGAGGTCCAGTTTCGCACTCTGCAGGATGGCATCAAACGCCGTGGAGAGCAAGAACGGTTCGGCTTGAATGTGGGAAATCGTCTCTATCGGAAGATCTTGCAGGGCGATGAAGTAGGACCTCGACTGGTCAAAGGCGATACGTATGATCCGAAGGCTCCCGTGGACATGTCATCACCACTCTCAGGTCGTTGGCCTTCCTTATCGCCTCCTTTACCCAAAGGTGGCTCTTCAGTCGATCTGGCTAAGGGCAGTCAACGACTTTTGGACTATTTGCGACGAGAAGGATACTGTAAGGATTTCACCCTTTCCAGCTTCAAGCTGAAAGATGCTGGGAAACTCAGCTTCGAAAGCTTTGTCGAGGAGCCCATCAACCTGGAAGCCACCTCAACTCTGATGCGAAGCCGTGGATTTCCTCCGCGCTACGACCAACGAATCCTGCAAGCCTTTTTCGCCGACCGTGGCTTTGATAGCGAGCTGGACGATGAGCTCAGTGATGCCAAGTCTGCAATGAAAGGTGTTCGCACCAAATGGCTGCTGACGCCTGATCCTGATGCAAGTCTTGAATAGTTGGAAGACTGTATAGAGGACTAAGTGATCCGACAACCTTGAGGTCAATGTAGAAGCACACGACATTGAATAACTATAAAAGTTAAGCTATACAAATGGATCCCTTAGCTTTGCGAAGCAGAGAATGGCACGGACGCCATGCTGAGCACAAAACGCACAAAAGAGCTAACACTTGTTCACGCCACTCTGCGTTCCAACAATCCTTTCCCTTTTCAGTTGTTTTGGAGACAGACTTTGGACTTCAACGGAACATCAGCGGCCAGCGAAGGCCACAGACATGCGGAGACTACGACAGACTCGACATGCGAACACGACTCGGTCGTATCTGTCATGTTCTCTCCGGAGAACTGGACCAACCGTTCTGACTCGAGCGCTGTGAGGAAAGTGATCCTCAAAGGATGGAGGCGACCCGAAGTGGTGGCTCCAATGCCAAGGCCGGGTGGGTGGGTTTAAACAGCCCCTGGCGCTGTTGGAAAGGAGCATTGAGATTCAGCATGATGTGTAGCAAGGCTGGTCGGTTGAATTCTTATGAAACCATAAATATTGAAGCTCGTTCACACAATTCCCAAGTCCTATTGAATGATGTTCCTGAACCACCTCTCAGACACGTGCTGTTGACATTTTTGAGTTAACATTTTGCCAAGTGGTTACATTCTATTATTTTCCTCAGCGCGGTTCCAGGTCTCTGCTGGATCAGCCGGATCAGAAGGATCCCCTCAAGATCAAGGGCAGGCGCATGCGGCTGGAAATCGATGCGCATGCGGCTTATCTGCTGCATCTCAGGTGCTTGGCCGCAGCGATTTGACCCTCCAAAAACGTTGGCAGGTTCCCATCGTCTTGACAGAGGAGAAGGATGAGGATCAGGATACATGGCAGTGTCAGATGGGGGCGTCTTGTGTTGCCATGGGATTCCCAGTCGCCGCTCTCGGACCAGTGAATCAACTTGCAGCTGCCAAGGGAATAGCAGTGTCGGATGGTTTATAGGCTTATTGATATTGGATGATATGGGGTAAAAACACTCTATTATCAATTTGAGAAGATCGAGCTCAGTTACAAGGAAACAGGCCTGCCTACAACATCTTTTCATGGCATGGAAAGCCATTGAAACCTGCAACAAAGGTGCTGTTCTGTTTCCGATTTCATAAGACGGCCTTGAGCACCAGGGCCTTTGGAGTTTGGTGGCACCAGGGCCTTTCCGTTTCGTTCGACCAAACGACCAAACGACCTGACGGCTCCGCGGAGCCTGGTCGGAGCTGCCAGGAGCTCATCTTTTGCTTGAACGAGCTCTTGAAGCTTCAGGCAGAGGGACAGCACTGAGATGCACTGAGACGACTGTCAGGTCTATGCCTATCTAAGACCGTATTTTTTACATCGTTGAATGTCCGTTTTTGGCGTATTTGGATCCACAGAAACTGTGGCACTGTGGCAGCAGTTCTTTTGCTTTACGGGGCTGTGGCTTCATAAAGGGATGCTTCGGTGGAATGAGGCAAAGTCTTTCGCCTCAAGTGAGGCCTCTCCATTTTGCCCAGATTGGATGGCCATTCGCATCCGTCCGTCCGTCCGTCCGGGACAGTTCCAGGTCGGCGACGACGCCCGAGCCGCTCGTCGCACGCATGCTGTGCTGATGAGGTCTCCATTGCTAGCTCCTTGGAGGTAGCGTGCCTGGCCTTCCGCCACGCGGACCCTGCGAAAACATCCGGGCCGCGTAAAGTCTTTTTGGCGCGTGGTCACACAGGAGTCGCGATGAAGTAGGCAGCGTAGGCAGGAAGGCGTCGGAAGCCTTTAAACATGGTTTAGACCTTCCTTTTTGAAGTCATAGCCTGGAATCGTGAGTGGAATCGTGGTATTCTCAGCATATCATGGCATACCTGCAAAGGATTGATGATTCTTCCTGCAGGATAGGGATCTTTCGGACAACATTCGACGGGCCTTCAACGAGGTGCGGTGCCACGCGGTGCCACTTCCGGCGGCAGTTCTCCGATTTTTGATCCGATATTTTCTGCGGGTGTTTTTCTGGGAGGCGAACAAGCTGTCTGCCAAAGCTGCAACGGTGGTGTCGAACTATGCTCAAGTTGCCCAACAGGCTTTGATGCTAGGCTTTTGCATTGTTTGTCTTCTTTTGACCTAGATTTGCTTGCATTTGTGTCCCTCAAAAACCGCACGGAAGCACACATCGTTGAGTGGTCAGAAACGCCGACATCTTCGTGCGAAGGTCAGTCGCAATATTCTGCCAGACCTGAAGTTGGCCATTCAGGACGACCTGAGACGAGAGATTCTGAGAGAAAGCAGCAAGCATCAAGCTGCAGCTGCTTCTTCCAGGAAAAAGAGCCCAATTTGGCCGTGAGCTTGTTTTGACCCTAGAAACTGTCATGCACCACTGTGCACCATCTAGCGGCGTCTAGATGTGTCCTTTTTTTACCCAAGGTTGGGCATAGTCAAAGACTGGGTGGCCAACATGAAGAAGGACTGTTCACATTTGACAATGTTCATACGTACATTTATTTTGCGCTGCTTGAAGCAAGCTTTGTGAGAGGATGGCGAGCAGATTCAACACCTGTATTCAGCTTTGCAAGAGGCATGACAAGTGCATGAATGTGTATGTCTGTTGTATGTCATTGTATGAAAATATTTCATTTGTAAATCAGAAAAGTGATACATCTAAATTTAAATTAGCGCGCGCGTGAACTCCCTTGCGTGATCTGCCAATGTGTTATCTTTGCACACTTTTTGTACTTGTCCAAGAACGAAGCAGTACTTCACACGCTGTGGCTGGAGCGGGCCGAAGCGGTTCCAGTGCGCGAATCGGCGTTTCGATTTCTCAAGCGCCATGAACGTGTGATCTCCTAATCTCCTGTCCGGATCACCGTGACCTGTCAGAATCTGCACAATCTTATCTTGGGAGCCCAGAGAGCCAAAAGCCGCTTGGAAAGAAGGGACGACACTCTGGAAAGGCGAGAACGAGAAGTATGGGATAAGTTGGACACACCGATGAATTAAACCCTTCAAACCTACATAACAGTGTTTGCAATCACCTTCTGACAAGGTACTTAGATATACTTAGATCCTTAGGGAAAGGTAGAAGATTGAAGAAGGCGTTTCACAACACTTTGGTTTCACGGATGCTTTGTGATGCTTCGCACTTATCGACTTTGGACAAGCTGGTCATTGTTCTCATCAACTTCAATTGGTGGGCATGGACATGTTGTTTCTTTGGCCACTGTTTTCAAAAGATTCGGCATCCGAGTGAATTTTGTCTGGGGTCTTCCATGTTTGCTGAGGTGGTGCAGACCGCAGGTTGGCTGAATCACTGCAAGAACAGGCACCAGATGGGTTAAGCCTAAGCTATGTCCATGGATAGCTCGATCGATCCATGATTGATGAACCGGCACTGCGAGGGATCCTAATTGGTAAACCTCGGACTTAGGTTTTGGAAAGGTTGTGTGTGCTCGCATCGCACTGTGACCTTTCCAGCATGCGTTGTATTGCGTTGTAGAGTATCTTAATTATGCAACTCATGCCCTGCTCTCATGCAATCGTAGAATTCCGAACTATTTTGGCCCAAAGATGCTCAAAGGCATTGATTTGGATCGTGTGCTGTATGATTAGGCCGCATGACATGACCTGCATCTCCTTTCAGGAGTTGGTGCTGCAACAAATCCTGGATTCTCTCCAAATCCTTGCTCGAAGAACCATGCTGTTGGATGCATTGGTGAACATGCCTTGCATGTGTCAGGACCTCCACGTCTTCCATCCTCCAGACCTGCCACAGTGGATTGTAGTGCTGAGCCCGGTGCCAATGCACTTCGACGCAGAGCTTGGAGAGTTGCTCAAGATCTTCGGGGTCCAGCAAATGGATCGGGTCTCCTTTGAGGAGATCAACGTGCCTGTCTGGTCAATTGAGACTGCAATGGACCTCATAGCTCTCAGAAGCTACGGGCTCCAACTTACCCTACTTGAGGCGGGTCCAGTCACTGATCAGGTCAGGCAACCCGTCCCAGCTATGTCCAGCCGGGTCCGACCTTTCCCGAAGCAGCTGAAGCAAGGGCGTTGCCGGCGTGGTCGTGTACATAATTAGTTACAGTGAATAGTGGCTGTAGCTGAATGACATGTTGCACATCTGCCGGTATTGTACAGTGAGTGATGGGTATGTGTTTCATTCTCTGAAAACACTAGGAAAGGTAACAGTGTTTGTAACCCTCCGCTCAAAAGTTCAAGTGTCACACGACGTGAACTCAGGTAGCTTCCGTTTTTTCGTGCGTCACTTTCAACTGTGCTGTGTGCAGTACCTTGCAAAGAACAAGAGAGTGGAGTCTGAACCTGCCATGGCTCGAAAACAGGGTGCCACCGAGAAGATCCGAAAAGAACAAGAAGATCATGCAAGTGACTGACCATGCCATTCATCGCTGCAGAACTCGCGTTCACAGGTCGCCGACTTGGCGTCCGCGAGCTCAGAGACGGGAGGAGAAGAGACGGTGGACCGGGGCGACTCGTAGGGTGGGATGACCGTGATTTGTGTGGAAAAGAGGCTTCGGAGTAGTTCCAAAAGCACTCCAAGATTTACAAAGCCACAACAAACCAACAAGCCACAGCATAATGATCAGTGCAGTGGAACAGGCTCGAAACTAGTATCTTTCGGGTGGAAGACTTTCGTGATCGATCGTGGTCGGTTCGTTTGTGGCCGTCTCACAGGGGGAGTGCAACAGAGTCTTGATTCATGTGGCCCATGCCCATGACCATCAAGACGCTACTAGGAGCAAGGACCCTACTAGTGGCGCTCCTGGCATTACTAGTAACAAGAAGCTACTAGTAACAAAGGGCGTCGCTACTAGGAGCGGGGCGCTCCTGGCCTTACTACTAGTAACAAGAAGACCAAATTCTCTCTCTCTCTCTGTAGCGAGAACGTCCTTGAGCTGGAGCTACCCAGCTGTCAGGCATCACCAGGTGTTGGCTCTGCCGGAAGGAGGACTGCTCCGGTGTGGGGTGTGGGGTGTGGGGCATGAGATGGTTGAGACACCCCTAAATGGGATTTGCATGGATCTGCGGGTCCTCAGTAGATTTGCATCACATGTTTGTCATGTTGCTTCCATTCGTCACAGGACAGCAGCGTCCTGCTGATGAAGGCAGGTTGTTCGGGTGTCGAAGCGGAGGATTCCGGGTTTTGCAATGCAAAATGCGACATTCTCTTTTAGATACACTTGTCATTTGTGACAAGAAATAGGCTATGGATGACTGTGGACTAGCTGAACTTGTGTCCTGGTACATCCTGATATCAATTTGTTTCCTGGTGCTATTTCAAAAGAAACTGGTGAGAGATGGCGAGAGCGGGTTCGAGCCGGTTTCGGAGGACTCGGACTTCAAGGACCGTTTGTCGTAGCAGACCTGTTTCAACGCTGCAAACTGCAAAGAATATATATATATATATATGTACACAAAAAAAACAACAATAATTACATAATATACAATATTTTGGGTTTGTCCTATTAAGTGTAACAGTTTGTAAACAAGTTAAACAAGTATCATCATTTTTGAACAAGGCCTTTACTAACCATCATTATCAACTGTTACAGGTAATAGGATAGATGCAAGCGCGCATGTACATTTGGTACATGACATGATACCTATATAGCCCCTTTCGGCTTTGGAAAAGCGCGCTGCCGCTCTGCATGGTAGCGGAGCAACAAGCTCCAGGTCCCCCGTAAACCAGGGTAGGGCCTGCGCTGAGGCGCCTGTGGGGAGGACACCTTGTAAGTCCACCGTGTGGCGTAGGTCGGCCTAAAGCCTCATCGTTGTAATGCGTCACCTTTGACCGCTCCAGGTGCCTTCACGCTGGGTGACAGCTTGCCGGCGGCAGCTGAAGCAGGTCTTCTACCTCATCAAGCTCAGCAGCAGCAACAAGCACAGCCAGCCCTACCAGCTCAGCAGGTTGGAGCCAGTGGCCTGATTGACACAAGAGCCATTGGCAAGCTCAAGAGTTTTTTAGGAAAAGAAGAAGATTGGGCAGCTTGGGTGTTTGTGGCTAGAGGCTACCTGAACTTGCTGGACACCAGCTACCAGGCCCTCATCCAAGCCGCTGCAGCGACTTGGTGATGGGTGACATGGGACAGCATGCCCAGGAGAAGGCGATCATCCTGTTCAACCTCCTCAAAGCGTATGGACGAGTCCTATAGGTGTTGATGAATGTGGAGAATGGAAATGGCTTGCAGGGTTGGAAGGCGCTTTGTGAGGCCTACAAGCCTGATGTCGGTGGCAGGCACACCGCCATGTTGATGAGCATCATAGCCCAGCTTGGGAGAAGGTGAAGGAAGGTGATTTCCTCGAGTCACTGGAAAGCTGGGAGGTGCTGACAAGGCGCTATGAGATCCAGGCCAAGGAGCATGTCTCGGATTCCACCAAGATTGCAGTCCTCATGAAGCACGTCTTTGAGATCGGCCTTGAGGACTGCAGGAGCTCAGGTTGGAACGAACTATGAGCGAGCCAAGAAGTTTGCTCGAGATTTCCTACAAGCAGGGCAATACTACTACGCCAAGGGCGAGGTGGGCAAGGATGATGGTGGTGCAGCACCCATGGACGTGGGCGCAGTCTCCTACAGAGAAAGGCAAGAAAGGTGGCAAGTCAAAGAATGAGAAGGGCATCAACAAGGGTGGCAAGTTCGACAAGAAAGGAAAGCCACCACCTCCAAAGAAGTTCAATGGCGAGTGCTCCTACTGTAAGTAAATGGGGCCACAAGAAGGCAGACTGTCGTCTGCTGGCCAAGGAGAAATCCAAGCGAGAAGGAAAAGGTGAACGAGTGGACTGGGCAGATGCCGTGGACTCCTTCGTGATCGAGGACGAGTACGATGATGAGAAGGGGGTGATGATGATCCACAAAAGCAAGAAGCCCACTGACTGGCATTTTGCTTGCAGCTCAGCCCACAGATGACAAGATCAAGTACTTGCTGTCAGACTCAGGCAGTGATGAGCACTTGTGCAGGCCGAGGTTTGGTGGTGACATGCGCAGCGAGGAGAGTGAGGCAAGGCTGATGGGCATCTCAGGTCAATGTCTAGGGCGACTTGGCAGGAAGGAGGTGAACTACAAGATCATCGGGGAGGGTCACAACTACCTGAACGCCGTGACAGAGTTCAAGGTCAGTGGACAAGCCAGCAAGGATGTCCTGAGTGCAGGAAAGATGAGCAGGAATGGCTTTGCAGCTGACATGAGGAACCCAATGAAGCCTTTCCTGACGCATCCCAAGCTGGACTTCAAGATTTGCTTGTACCTCCACTGCAACTCCTACTACCTCAAGGTGCGGGATGAAGACACCATCGTGCGCGAGGATGACGTGGACCAGGCCTTTTAGGGCTCAGACGCTAAGGAGAGCAAGCCTCTGACCAAGGAGGAGATGGATGAAGGTGATGCTGAAGAATTCCGCAAGATGGACAAGTACCAGACCTATGACCCGGTTGAGCAGAAGGACGGCGTGAAGATCTTGGATGCCGTGTGGGTCAGAACCCGCAAGCCTGATGGTTCTGTGCGACTGCGTGAGAGAGTTCAAGCGGGGTGTACAGACGTCTTCGCGGTGGCATCAAGTACCTCAACGTCAA